CTTGGCAGGAGTACGCCGAGGGTTTCGGCGATCTGACCGGGGAGTTCTGGCTGGGTAGCGAGAAGCTGCATGATCTGACTAGTACTGGCAGATGCGAGCTAATCGTTACTCTGAGGGCGTTCGATGGACAGAATGCCACGGTTTGTTATGAGGACTTTAAAATAGAGTCAGTGGATGAAAGGTACAAGCTTAACGTTGGCAGTTTCCATACAGTTGCAGGAAATGCAGGTATGTAACAGCTCCCTTAAGAAGTGCACCATATATGATGCAACCTTCCCTTTAGCTCATTTTTCTTCTACAACGATCTCATCATTACGCCTGGTCTAACTACACTGCTTTCTTAAAAAATTCTCCAAACTACACGGACATTTAAAGATAAAATGTTCGGGCTGTAACATGGTATTTTCCCAAACTACCCGCCCCCCCCCAAAAAAATGAATCGAGGTTTCGAAGTATGAACAGTTTCTAAGCAGCTGTATATTTCATTTAAAGTTTTAATTGCCATATAAACTACTTACCAAAATCAGCAAGGGAATTAATAATGAAGCTCTATTCAAGTGCCAAACGTGCTTCATAACTCGCGTCAGCACTTGAATGTTTGCGTACAAACCTTAGCCCAACTTCAGCTTGCGTTTTCTGTGTGTGCATTATCAATTTCTACCTCTTTTAAAATAACTGAACTCAACAGTATTACTAATTAGATTTTGCACCATATGAACCTAATTTTCCTGATATTTATCCAATCGCACGAACGATGCCTCGTTACCTTCGCTCTTCACCAGCTTCATTTTTCACGCTAACACAAATAACAAAAATAAAAGCTGCTAAAAGAACACTTAAGGCTAGTCCATACACGATTACCCTCCGCTGTTTGTAATCCAGGCTTTTACTCCGAAACGACAGTGTGTGAAATTTGCCGTCAATACGAAACAATTTGCAGCTGCCTCAAGTACCAGCTTCAAAAGTATTAAGCCGCCTTTCCAGATGCCTCCAACACTTGCGCCAACACAACGTCCACGTGTGTTGCAGTGGAGGCGATTTTTGTGTCCGTGAAAGTGAAACACGTGAACGCATCGTATCGTATTTATGACCGCCGCCAAATGGGCCACGTGATGATAGGTAAGTGACCTCATGTGTGTAGGGGGAGGTGGTGTTTGCGCTGGCATTGTAACAGGAAATCAAGCCACTCCGCAAGACTGGAGTAACGCGGTATGGAAGTTATAAATAAGGAATTCCGAAGCGGCATCCACAAGGTGCACCCCCATCTGATAAATATAAATCCTGCCGCCACCGCTCAATTTAGGGGTGAGCAATCAACCCACCCGGCGCCCTGTGGAAAAGATTGCCCACTGAAGGTTAAGAGCTCGCCTGGTGCGCTCGACCGAATTTTGTCTGTTAGCCGAGGCACAGGAGACCCTTGGCAAAATCTCCGACCAGTAAATGATGGAGTGAGGTAATAATGCTCGGGTGACAGCAAGAATTTGTCTAATCCCCTCGAGCATTGATTTCTTGGGGACGTAGCCCAGATCGTTGGAGCCAACATGTATGATGATCCATGTTGGCGATGCTTGCTCCGCCAGCCAGCAGCAGTGAAGGAAGTCGTTGAATTGGTCCAGCTGCAGGCCCCGCCTACCCATCCAGCGAACAGTTGCCAGCCCATCAAGTGCCTCCCCCCAAGGAGAGGATAACGCCACACGGGATGTCCAATGGATGAACGAGTCGCCAACCACCCAGACAAGGGGCTTGTTGTCGATCGGCGGGTTTGCTCATGGAAGTAAAACAGAAATTAAATAGCTATCAATACTTAATGAAAAGTTAGCGTATGGTTGTGGGGTTACATGACCCCAATGTACAAAATAGCCACAAATTTAAAAACTCATAGGAGAAGGTAACTGCTAATACGAATATAGCGGCGGTAAACGCCTGACTGCCAACGACCCATCTGTTGGATCTCATTGTCAGGAATTCCCGCCATTGCGGCTGCTGTGGCCGCACCGATCCGGAAGGAATGAGAAGTATAACGGGTATCATGAATGCCAATGAAGCCAAGGGCCCGCCTTAAAACAGCGGTGAATTGAGAACGTGTAATTGGAGAACCATCAAAATGGGACAGGAAATTGCTGAAATGCTGAGGACACCTGCTGAGGAACTGTGTAGTGGCCTGAACAGGGCACAAGAAAATTCGCCCTCAGAAACAGCAGGTATTGAAATTACACAACCCTGACCTTACTGGTCGGTCTTGGAGAAACGAATGTTTAGATTAACCACACTGCCAGAAGAGGTATGATGAAGGGTAACATCAGAACGACGTAAAGGTGAAATACCAGATCGAGTGGACGC